TCAGATCGCTCACTCTGCGTCGGCACTTTTGATCTCAATGGTCCAGTTTATACACAGCGCAACTCGGATAATTCATTATATGACAACCGCCTATACTAAAACAGCAGTCTTCTGCGTATCCTGAATTTGTATCCCTGGAGTGGATGTTATTTTGGAACTTTTAACTGGCCCGAGTGAGCTAACTGATTCTTTAGCAATAAACTGTGACTCCAAAAATAATATTCACTGACACTGACAGCAGCAAGCAAAATATCAGGTGCGTTTTAATCATCCGCTTCTGCTTCCGGAATTGTCGGTTTAGTCGTTTTAACCTGTCAGAATAAAACAAGAAAACCGACAATTCCGAAGCAGAAGCGGATGATTAAAACGCACCTATTAAAAATATTGCGCCAAGATGTAGGCAACACGTAATAAGGGATCAAAATGGCGAAGTTTTCTATCTCCTTTTAAAAGGCACTCAGAAAGCTGCGCAGTGCCACCATTCTCCGTATAGTAAAAGAAAATCAAAGTATGTGTATTAACCTTAAAAGGTGACATGTTGCATTATTAAAATAATTTATTGTTTTGTTTTTATTTGTCGATCACTTTCGTCCTGTGATATATAAACGAGTATTTTTAATGTTCTAAATATTTTTTTTTCTTGTGCTTTTGTATCATATATTACATTTGAAACTAAAATACAAAAAATTTAAGTTGTAATACTGTTAGAATATATTTCTGTTTTCTATAAGTTTTTAATTATGTTATGTACCTCAATGAGAAAATACTTGTATGGCTTGTATTTGTAAAATATAAAAATGAAAATAATTTTTTTGGAAATACTTTTTAAAATTATTTTTCAATAGTGGATAATAATAACTAACTTAACCCGTATCTATACTCACATATGAACGTAATATTTTAAATTTGCACAAGGGCGCCAAAAGTGCTAGGCGCGGGCCTGTAAATCATCAGCTACCTTTTTTTTGTACTCCACTGGTCTATATTTTAAAAAATAAAAAAAAAGGTTATATTATACCAATTGATGGAGAAAACTTGTGTTCTAAAAACAAAACAAAACAAAATAGTTGTGTGAAGATCATATCGATATCAAATATCCACCAGAAATTTCGGAAATACATATAGTAAAATAAGGAAATTATTTTGATGCCCAGTTTCCAAGTATGTTAAATCAGATTACAGCTCTGATTACCAAATAGTAGATAGGTACCCACTCAAACAAAATTATCATAAGTCAACGACGTAATAGATGCGTTTTAAAGTACCTAGATAGGAATTTTACATCATAACAATAATTATATTTGAAAACATGTTCAAATCGTGATAAAATAATTCTAATTGGAGATTATTAGTCTGAATAAAGGAGTAATGTACTAAAAGTGGGGATATAATGTTACATTCCATAGGCGTACTTTGCAAAATAAGATTCTATAATATTAATAAGGACACTAAAATTGTAAATACGTACTTCTTAGATTAAATTTTGAATCAAGAAAGATATATTATTTACAAAAAATAAAAATAATCTTTATGCTTCTCACAAAATTATTGCACTTTAACATGACTGAATTAAATTTAACCAATAAATAAATAAGTACCTACCTAAAATTGAAGAATAAAAAAAATAAAAAGTTGAAGAACTATATTTAAAAGTTACAGTCTTCATTATAAATACTGGTATCATTATCATTGTCTTTCCTCAGCTTTATTATTATAGGGTCTATTAAGTTTTCCATTGCTATATCCACTTTTCAAAATAAGTTTTTCACCTTTTTAACATGATTAATTGATTTTCTCCAATGTTTTCCATTTACATTTGGAACTACCTTGAAAAACAAATTTTGCACATCAGGTAATTTAAATGTTGTATTCTTTTGAGAAAATTACCATTTAATTGTATCAGTTCAATAGGATTTAACTCTGCGTGGTAAGGAGACAATGTGATAATTTCAATTCCTTTTTCTCGGACCATCTCATCAATGACATGTTTTTTTTTATTTGTTTTCATGTTGCCTTGCTATTACGAGTAATTCTGCCTTTAAGGATTTAGAAGGACCGATAATATTTTTAGAGTGAAGCCAAATTAAAATATCTTTTTTTTGTTGTAGGTAGTGACTTCTTTAATCGACTGTGATAGGATGCATTATCCAAAACAATAAAGGAGTTGGCTGGATTTTTTTATAATGTTCTGAAACCAATTTTCAAACCATTTCTTCATGGTCATTTTTTTTGACTTGAACCTTCTGATAAAATCCATCGATGCTTCCAATGTGGGTTATTAAACGATTTCCTTTTCCTGTTGGATTTTGTTATCCACAAGAGACTCCTTCCATTAAGGCTTTTTTTAGTTTTGATAGAGGTATCTTGCCAAATGTATGTTGGTGTGTGCAGGGGCGATTTCACCATTAGTTCATTTGTATAGCGAACATTTCATAAAACACAATATTTTAAAATAAATTACATAAAAATATTAATTCAATTTTAATAATTTTATTCTTTTCATACGTGTTAATATCTATTTTTTTGTACGCTCTGGCTAATCATGTTTCCGTGGCGCTCTTTTATGAGTGAGCCCGAAGGAATGAGAAGCGTTTTTGAAAATCTTTAGCTAAAAAGAAATGTCGCACGTTAAGAGATCCCTGAAACGTAGTAAAACAATCATAAAATTACTTATATCAGCTTAATTTGCGCAATGCACATAATGACGTCACAATGTAGGGCGGAGCATACAAACTTTCAATCATTGATATAAAACTCAGAGTAAGTAAGTAGTAAAGAGAGGACAGTAAACAATGTTTGTGTCGCCATGATAATATGGTCGAGAATTCTAATTAGAGAGAAATAGATTATTATATCTATCTCTTTGTTTGTATTTGTCAGTTTTACAAAGCTTTTCTCAGACAATTATTCCAGTGTTTAATTTAAATTTGTTCGTGTTGTGGTGTTAAAAGTAATTGTTATTAATATTATATTCATAACAAAAAAGTCATATTTTGTTTTCACTTCATTAAAACATTTTATTTTATATTCTACTTGCTCAACATTTTCGCATTTAAAATGACCCAGCGAAATTGTTTTACGGTACGTACGCTACTGCTGAGAATTCTAAAACGAGTGAGAAAGCCTTCATTAGAAAGAGATATACTGATTATATGATAGCGACATTAATATTGTATAACTTTATGCAGTGGTGGCCTATCTGCTATTATATTATCTAAGATATAAAATAAAAAGAAAATGCTATGACGATATTAAAAGTGTCCGCACAGTTTTACGTCATATGTCAAGTAGAGTTAGTCAGTTTTAGTGAGAATAAATACCATTTTTTAGCATGAGTTAAATGATATAAAAACATTTTCATTCAGTCAATCTTCAAATATAAAATTATTAACGTCAAATTAATCAAAATACGACTCAAAGTGCCGCTCATTTGTCAAATCGCAAAATTAGGCATTCCAACGACCTGTCAAACAATAGGTGCCAGTGGGAAATTATTGTATATTTAAGGGGGTAGCGACATAGTCTTGCAACTTGGACGCTATTTTTATTCGAAGTAGTACTCGCCAAGCCTGCCAATTTATGAAGAAATGTATAGGTGGGTTTTTTTAAATATTATTTTTATTGTGTTTGACATAAAATATTTAAATGTAATCCATTATTCATGATTTTACGTAAAGTAGATAGAATACACCATATGTCGCTACCCTTAGATATACCAAACCTGCCCACTGGTAATTCATTTGTTTGGAATGCCTAATAGTTTTCAATCAAGCTGTCAAACTCTAAAATTAACCCTGTCAATTTTAATTGTGTTTATTTAAAAACCGTGTTTAAATAAAATGCGAATTTAATAAATCGAAAGTATGTGAGTCAATTCAATGATTGTTAACAAAACACGTCTCCAAGCTCAAGGTAAAACTTGCTATTATTTTTGAGTTTATGTTTATATTTTGTTTTGTTCCAGTTTCTACAAAATAGTGTAACCCCCAAAACGTTACTTTAAGTTCGGTTGTCCCTGATGTCAACCTTGTAGCTCCGGTTCACTCAAGTGAAGAAGGGAGTGGATGAATACTTCGTAATCACGGAAAAATATATTATTTTAGCGGTTCTGTTGAATTGGACGCCAGGTAGATCTACTATACCAAGCCACTACAAATCAGAAGAGTCCTACTTTTAAACCTACCAAATAAATAGGAAAATAAAAGACAACCTTAACTCAAACCTTGTTTATTTCCTAATTGGAAGATAGTTTGTCTTCCCCCTTAGTTAATGACCCCTTTACAATTAGAGCGCTATTAGCGACTTCAAACACAATTCATATGCTAGAAGAACTAGATTTTACTTACATACCTAAGGGCTAATCGTAACCCCAAATTAATACCAGTATGTACAATATTTTAGCGCAGTGTACAGAAATTAGACAGGGTTAGTTCATGGAATCTCAATAAAATCAATAATATTACTTGTCAGTACCCCACTGTCATTAGCGTTGGATCCAAGGCGAAAGACATATTAAGCGCAACTCATAGAAAAGGTTAACTTCATTTAATATTAAAAATCCTGTAATTTCTGTATATTACAGAAGTTCATATCCAAAATACTTATAAACTAAAATAGTATTTGTATCACTAAACAATGTGAAACATACTCTTATTATAAAACACTCTATGAAATATGATATATGAACTAACCATGAAAACATAGGCAATGAGGGCCTTTAATATCATATGAACACAACGTAATTTATTCAAATAAATTCATAAAGAAAACTGTATACTGTTGGAACACGCTGTATATATTTTGTTAGTTTTGTCATACTGATAGATATTATTAATTCATTGTCATTGTCATGTTTTTGGAATTAAATGTTAAACACTTATATTAGTATTTTTATGTTGTTAGTGGAAATACAACATATTTGTGGCGACGAGTAAGTGGAACTCACGTATCCTTCAGCAGATACACTGCACTTTTTTCAGTCAAATACATTTTTTTACATCCTTAAGTTAGGAAGATTATGGATCAATTTCAAGCAGCTTTTCTCCAACTTGTTGAGCAACAACGAAAATTTATGGAAGAAATGACCAAACTTGCACAACCAAAGAGCAATACTGAACTTATAATTGAATCCTTAGCTAGTAACATAGTGGAATTTGTCTATGACCCCGATTCTGGTATTACATTTGAAACTTGGTTCAGTAGATATGAGGATTTATTTTCTGAAGATGCTAAAGTCCTAACAGACTCTGAAAAAGTTAGACTACTACTTAGAAAGTTAAATACTTTGGCACATAGTCGGTATGTCAACTTCATTTTACCTAAACAGCCAAAAGAATTTAATTTTATAGAAACAATTAATAAATTGAAAACAATTTTTGGACGAACTATGTCACTTTTCCATCTGAGATTTAAATGTCTTCAATTAACAAAAAATCCATTTGATGATTTTGTTACATATGCCGGAATTGTCAACAAATATTGTGAAAATTTCAATCTAAAAGCACTTGACGAAAATCAATTTAAATGTCTTATTTTTGTTTCTGGTCTACAATCATCACTTGATGCAGATATTCGTACAATCTTACTTGCTGAATTGAATGATCCAAACAAATCAATAAATTTGGAAGAGATAGTTTCCAAATGTCAACAAAAACTCAATTTAAAACAAGATACTGCTATGATTGAGAATAAAACACATTCGATTGAAACATCCACAGTCAATGCAGTTTTAAACACATCCAAATCTTTTACACAAAAGTTCCCAAGACAAGACAAGCAAGTAAATAATCAAGGTAAACTACCTAATACTCCATGCTGGCAGTGTGGACAAATGCATTATGTAAAAGATTGCACGTATTCAAAGCACTTGTGTATACAGTGTAACAAAATGGGCCACAAAGAGGGCTACTGCAATTGTTTTACAAGAAAAAAACCTTCAATTCAAGAAAATAAAAAACACTCGACCAATGTCGTCATGACAGTAAATCAAGTAGATGCTGCATCAAAACGCAAGTATATCACAGTGCACATCAATGGTATTCCTATAGAATTACAATTTGATTCAGCATCAGATATCACCGTCATTTCTCAAGATACTTGGGTTAAATTGGGAAAACCAGAAACCAAACCAACTAAACAGTTAGCTAACAGTGCAACCGGTACTTCAATTCAGTTGGAATCGGAACTTAAATGCAACGTATCCTTCCAAAATTCCACGATAAATACAAAATGTTTTGTATCAGCACTCCCACACTTGAACCTAATGGGAATAGATTGGATTGATGAATTCCAATTATGGGACATACCCATTAATTTTATTTGCAGTCAAGTTACTTTTACCCAAAAAGATATATTAAAATTTACAGAAATGATAAAAAGTAATTTTCCATCATTATTTGTTCCCGGTTTAGGACACTGTACAAAAGCAAAAGTTACTTTTCATCTTAAACAAAATGCCGTTCCTGTTTTCAAACCAAAAAGACCCATAGCATATGCAATCATAAAAGAAGTCGAAGACGAATTAGATCGCATGCAGAAGTTGAATATTATCACGCCGGTAGAGTTTTCTGAATGGGCCGCACCAATTGTAGTAGTAAAGCGGAAAAATGGAGGAGTTCGCATATGCGCCGACTATTCCACTGGATTAAATTCAGCTTTGGAGTCAAATATGCAACCACTTCCGTTAATTGAAGATATATTAGCCAATCTAGGTAGCAGTGCATTTTTCACCCAAATAGACTTAGCCGATGCCTATTTACAAATAGAAGTTGAAGAACAGTCAAAAAAATTAACTACTATTAACACCCATAAAGGACTATTTCAGTTCAACCGCCTTCCTTTCGGAATCAAGTGTGCCCCAGGATCATTTCAACATATTATGGATATGATGATTCAAAAGTTGCCAGGAGTGAACGCATACTTAGATGACATCATCGTGGTGGGAAAAACGGAAGCTGAACATGACAAAAATCTTCTCATGTTATGTCAGCGCATGCAAGAATATGGTTTTAAGCTTAAGATAGAGAAATGCAAATTCAAATCACGACAAATCAAATATTTAGGGTATGTTATCGATATAAATGGACTTAAACCAGATCCCGCCAAAGTGGAATCTATTGTTGGTATGCCTGCCCCTAAAAATATTTCTCAGTTAAGATCTTATTTAGGAGCAATAAATTTTTATGGGAAATTTATCGATGATATGCATAAAATACGCGAGCCGCTAAATGCCTTATTACGTAAAGGTGCCTCTTGGAACTGGAATCAAGCATGTCAACAATCCTTTAATACGTTTAAGCAATTGCTGCAATCAGACATGATTCTTACACACTACAACCCTAACTTAGATATAATTGTGGCTGCAGATGCTTCAGAAACAGGAATAGGAGCTTGTTTGTTACATAAATTTTCTGATAAATCAATCAAAGCAGTAATGCACGTGTCAAGAACTCTTACGGAACAGGAAAAAAGATACAGCCAAATAGAGAAAGAGGCATTAGCATTGATCTTTGCAACCCAAAAATTTCACAAAATGATTTATGGCAGAAAATTTATACTTCAAACTGACCATAAGCCATTAATAACAATTTTTGGTTCCAAAAAGGGCATTCCAATCCACACAGCGAAGCGATTGCAAAGATGGGCATTACATTTAATGATGTATGATTTTGATATTAAATACATCAACACATCAGATTTTGGTCACGCAGATATATTATCTAGACTAATAAACGAACACACAAAGATTGATGAAGAATTTGTAGTTGCTTCAGTAGAATTAGATGAAGTGATCTATCAAATTATCCAAGAAACAACATCAAAATTACCAATCACTTTTAAAATGATTCAAGATTCAACAATCTCGGATACAGTTCTTCAACAGGTGAAAGGTTTTATTAATTCAAATTGGCCACATTCAAATGACTTAACAGAAGAAGTTATTCCTTTTTTTTAACAGAAAAGAGTCATTGCTGGAAATTGATGATTGCTTGATGTTCAATGATCGGATCATAATTCCTTCTAAATATAGAAGGTTAGTACTTTGTCAACTTCATCGTGCCCATCCAGGAATAGAACGCATGAAAGCGTTAGCACGATCGTATGTTTATTGGCCAAATATAGACAAAGATATCGAACATTTTGTCAAAGTTTGTGGTCAGTGTGCATCAGTTGCAAAGTCCCCAACAAAAACAGAATTAAAGTCTTGGCCTACACCACAAAAGCCATGGCACCGACTACATATTGACTATGCACAATTAGATAAACAATATTTCTTGGTAATTGTCGATGCATATACCAAATGGCCAGAAGTTATTCTGACAACATCAATAACTGCTAATAATACTGTCAATATATTGCGAGAAGTATTTGCAAGATTTGGGTCTTGTGATACAATAGTTTCAGATAACGGAACCCAATTTATCAGTTCTCAATTCCAACAATTTTGTAAAGAGTTTGGTGTCGAACATATTACAACAGCACCTTTCCACCCTCAGTCTAATGGACAAGCTGAACGCTTTGTTGATACTTTTAAGCGTGGTATTAAAAAACTTAGAGGGGAGGAAGGGTTATTGGAAGCATTGCATATATTTTTATGGAATTATCGTGCTACTCCTAATAAAGTTACAGGAGTGTCACCAGCAGAACTTATGTTGGGCCGGAAAATAAAAACCCAACTGGACATGTTAAAACCAACTCAATCGACTAGTTATTTTGTAAATGAAAGTCAAAATGAACAGTTCAATCATAAACATGGAGCCAGAGTAAGACAGTTTAAAGTTGGTGATTTAGTTTTTGCAAAGATTTATAAAAACAATTCTTTCAATTGGACACCAGGATCCATTATAGAACGAATTGGTGAGGTATTGTATAACGTGTTATTAGAGAATGATGCCGTTAGACGTTTAAGATTGATTCGTTCACATACAAATCAATTGAGGCCTAGATGGGCTCCAACAGATAATTCAATGTCAAATTCTTGTTGCAAGTCCTTGCCGTTGGTTCTCATGGATGAATTTACTACATTTGCCAATGAACATTCACAAGAAACTGAATCAATAGAGAATTATGAAACCTTAGATATTGAATATGTAGGACCACCCATAAATCAAACTGTCGAACAGGAAAATACCATAGATTCAACACCGCCCTCAACACCTAGTATACAGTCAGCTACCAGGCAGTCTCAGCGAAAAACAAAACTTCCAAAAAGATTGGATGATTATGTGTTGAATTAAAAAAAAGGGAGATGTTGGAACACGCTGTATATATTTTGTTAGTTTTGTCATACTGATAGATATTATTAATTCATTGTCATTGTCATGTTTTTGGAATTAAATGTTAAACACTTATATTAGTATTTTTATGTTGTTAGTGGAAATACAACATATACATATACGTATCAGTGGTAGACTAAATAATAAACCCCAAATTATAACCGAAACGATAGAAAAATAAATACAGAATTTGCACATATCTTTTGATCCGTGCTATTCAAGGCTAGCGTTTCCGCCTGTGGCATGTAGTCTTATGATGCCAAATCTCTGCTGTTCTAGTAAAGTAGATGAGGTGTTCGAACCCCAAAATGGCCGTTCTTCGTTAAAGAGGAAGTACATAATCCTCAACGTTACTAAGAAGTAGTATCATCAATACCAGTCAGGAAAACGCTAGTACTAGGCAGTATCTTCACTACCAAACAACTGCCCCGTACCCAGCAACAGTAACAATCAACACCGATACCAAACAACACCGGTACCAAGCACCCTAAAATGTACAAACCTAATTACAATCTGATAACCAAAATCGATCCCGCCCCTTTATCTCTTGAAAATTAATGTGAATTAATTGAACCTCCCAGAAGGTTGAAATTATTGCCTGTCTAAGTAAAGACTATTCAAGCAAAGCATTAAAAGTTCCCAATTAAAAATGAACAAGTAAAACTATACAGTATAACCTGTTCCCCATATTCAACCCCCTTAAAATCTGAAAGAATCTGTTATTAAAAATGAATGGGTAGCAATATTTACAATTTATCAAATAAAACACAAAGAATAAAACCAACCTCTATTCCGGAGGGTGTAACTGCGAATCAAACAGGAAATGAAATCTGCTAGAACTTCTTAAAAACCAATTCTCCCTTCAATATATGACCCAATTACGATCGGTCTCCATCCATCAAACTGTTCCAGGACGACGAATAGGTTGAACTTCAATATTCAGTGCTCCTCAAAAATGAGATGAGAAAGCCGGCATACATAATCACATAAAAATAATAACGGTCTAACTACGCGTTAACCAACTTCAAAACGTACCATCAATGCTTTCCATAAAATAGAGACACTTTTACTAGACTTCCCACGCGGGATGATATACAAAATCACATAAAAAAGTAGAAAGTCTCTCAGCGAATTTTCAGTTCAACACCGCCATTATCATTCCCTGTTGGATTGGAAGACGAACCTGCCACGTGCTACAAATTGCGCCGTTCTTCGCCCCCTATAATGAAGCCTCGACCGCGTAGAATCACTTCAAAGAAAACCCATTAAAACCAATCGCCGCTCTCCGATCTCTAGAAATTATTGTTTGTTACACTGTGCGACCAATAACCTCCTTCATCTGCTGGAATACGACCATTCGCATTCAGGCTGACAGCTCTGTTAGCACTGCTCGATCAATAAGAAAACCCAAAAACATGTCCATGAAATGCAAACACGAGCACTCCTTAGTTCACGAATCGCTGGCGTATGAATCGTGGCCAGACATACGTCGTCCCTTGATCCTCCTTCAAGTAGAG